TTTCAATCATGTTTTGTGAATGTTTAGAGCGGACGAAATGACGTCATTCCATGACGACGTTGTTCCTACTTCGTTGCGTCAGCTAGTCTCGGACACGAAATGTCTCGCGCGCTAATTCTGCAGCCCAAATAATTATGACGGGCACATTGTGAACGTGACTGCCGACTCTTATGGTCCTGCTTTTCGATTCCTCCCTTGAAACTACCAAAGTACTCCCCAGGGGGACTTCCCTCTCGACTGGAGACGTTGAGATAAACGCACTGACCCTCGACTCGCTTTGTCCGCTTTCTTTCCGCGAATATCACCAGCTACACGTGCTAATCACACCCAATTTCCACTTTTCGTCGGATGATGGTTTCAGGTGCACGCTACATGATGGAAGGACCCGTTTGGTAACGGGCTCACCTAACAGACAGGTATCCGCCGTTCATCCATGAGGCAGAAATGCGGTTACTGATCACTGGAGCTCAGGCGCATGAACGACAAAGCAGTGGTTCCAGTCCGTTCCCAGACGTGAAAACCTGAATTTACTGAATTCTCTTCTGCCTTCTAAGATTGATATACAGTAGACCATTCCTGATGGTCTGGTGGCACTGGGATCGATAAAATTCGTCCGTCTGTTGCACGAATTCACCTTTTGAGTACGATGTCTTGACTAGTTGCAACATTGTTTCCGGACGAACGTTTTATGTGTCAAAAAGTAGAAACTGGAGAATCAGCGGCTGGAGAAAGTATACTGACTCGTTTTGAAGGATTTATACCAACCATGATCTAATGGCCTTTCTAAATTCTGTGTTGATTTCGATGCATTATAAACCTTTCGTCATCATACAAGAGTCCAAGTCCTTTCTAACTGATCCACTTACAGTTTCTCAAAATCCTCAATTTGAACAATCCTGGAGTGAAATGCTTTTTGGCGCTTCACTTCGCAGAGGTCGGTTAATTTGCCTATACCTGTTACTGAAATGCGGCCTTGTAATTTGAATGCTTAGATATCCCATGATGCGCTTCCGTAAACGTGCAACCATTACAAGTAGATCGATCAACTGTTTCACTCATTACAATAAGTTTTGAACTAAAATCATGCACAAACTGCAACGTTTTCTGCGGCAGTCTTATTTGTCAGGCACAGGATACGTCTCATGTATGATAAAGATGTCGTGCGTTTCATCAAATCTTCAGTAGTCATCTGTATTGTTTGGTGAGCAAAAATAAATCAACCATAGATTTGACCGACTGCCAGTGGTCAGGATAATATGAATTGTTGCAAGCAGTTTGTGTCATGTGAAACAGCGTCATCGTCGCAGCATGCAAGTCATGATTGGGCTATGCGGTGCGGAATATCAAGGTCACGAAACCAGCCCAACGATGATCTGGTTGGCTGATCTGGCTGATTTGTCAAGGTCTGACCACCCAACGTGACCTACACACACAACCTACCGGTTGTGTGACCAGCCCCGTCCCACGCTCGTCGTGCAGTGACCAGCGCATTCGCCAACACGACAGTATCCGTGTTGCGTATCACGGTGAGTCATCGAGCGGGGCTGTAGGATCAGACGTGACGACTGTGCTCGGTCTGCGGACATTTGCACATACACTGGCGTATTGCCGTCCGTCCAGGCGCTGCTGCAGCGGCTTAGCAACCTGTACGCGCCTTGTGCTCATGTGTCGCCGACGGGCGGTAGGGTGAATACAGAGCTACACAGGTGCCTGCGACTGCTCCTGACTGGAGAAAACCCACAAGAGGCGATTGGTCAAAATTGGATAGTATGTGCTGTTGGATCGTGGCACTACCGCGACACTGAGACTGCTAGCGGATGAGTTAATGAGCTTGATGGGACTAAGGCGTGCACGCCGGTCATACGAGAAGCATCGCTCTGTTCACTTCGTGTACAGTGACGATTTTGGTGCACAAACGTTCGATAGGATTTTGCCAAAGTATCGATTCTTCCCTGATTTAATAACATGTTCGGTCCGATTATACGAATACAGCTTTCATTTGCATATCAGTGACAGATATTCGCTCCCTGTTTGTGTGTCATTCCACATTTTTTTCACAGCCGAGCTGTTTGCTTGCGTTCGGTGCTTCAAAGTAATTTAGTTAGTGGGAAGCTTGGGGCATTAGAAATCAGTCGATTCTTGTTCGATTCTCCCAGTGTTCTGTTTTGATAGGTTTGCTTAATTTAGAATGTCCATATGGCTGAGGTGTGGATAGTTCCGGTCCAAGAGGAGCCGAAAGACCGATCTAGCTAATTCATATGAGGGATAATTGCGCTACCGATGGACAGGTTTGCGATGTTTTTTCTCTAAAAAGTTTACATGCTTCAAAAATGTGATTTTGTTTCAGTAGATGGGTTTGAGGCAAGTTTCTATCAATTGGTTCCACCTGATTTATGCATGTTATTTTGGATTAAGTTTGGCCTTTTCTCGCTATGTTACTGGAGCTGTGGTGAATCTGATCAAATTCACCAAATAGGTGTGTTGGATACACGTTTTCCTTGATTCTAGGGTTAAAGTGCGCAGCGGCCTGTGAGTTTGATGGCCGTGTCAGTGCTGAGGGGAATATTTTTTTGAATGGTTCTCCGCCTTCCGGAGGAGGTTCCTTTGTTGCTCATGATTGTCCTCGATCAAAGACAACCACTTTATCCGGTTCCTGTAAATAGTAGTCTCCTTGGAATAGGTGAACCATAACTCGATTTGTCAACACAGGCTACACAAATCAAGTGAAAAAAAGATGAAGTGAAGTTATTATAAGGACGCTCTTTTGGTAACACGACATACTCAGTTGTTGCTCTTGGATGGTGGACTGAAAATCGCCCGAAGTTCCCTACTATCGTCAGCAGTTTCCCTCCATTTTTATAGTAGGGGTCGTGTGATCTACCCCCTGAGCACAATTTTCGTCATTTACTTCACGGTTTTGCTAAGCATGTTCTGCACATCTCCTGAGTGTATCTTCTGAACAGTATTAGTAGATCAACTAGATATTGGCGTGTAATTAATGAAACAGTGTCAGGTTTCTTGGAGTTGAAATCGGTGCGACGTACACGCTTATGATGGCGAAGGAATCGAACTTATGGGCAATCACTCACAAGCCTATTATTACCAAACTGTCGTCCGCAAACTCAGTGGCGTAGCCACGAATATCATCACTAAGGTAGTAAACATCAAGTCACTTAATTTCCAGGTTGATACTGTACCTCCTGCAGTATAGCACCACGCCAGTACTCCTGGACGGCACCAGGTGCACATCCGTGAGCTACGATGTTTCGGTCACTAGGTGCTTGCTGTTTTGTCATCCTTATGGCTGAACCTAAAGTCTGTGTGCATTTTTAACAAAAATTCCGTCCTGTCAGTGAAGGCAGTCGATGCTGAAAAGCCGGGAAGCACTGCAAGGCTGTTTCATCCTCATTGGGAGCCACCAGCATCATCGACATATTACGCTGCTGTCACACGGAAACATTCGAGTGCTTCGTGCTTCACGTCTGTCCCCTTTAGTAACAGAAAGTTCTAGAACCATTACCTAACGTCGTAATAAAACTACAAGAGTACCTAATGCACTGTATTTGGATGAAGTTAACTGTTTTTCTGCCGGTACGTGACTAATTAGTCCCAGAAGTTACATGACTTGTACTTGCATAAATGGGATTGAAGGGTTTAAAACGCGAAATAGCCCTGCCTTCTCGTTGAAAAACCGAGGAGCACCGTACAGCTGTTTCATCCTTATCGGGACTCAAAATAAGTGCATATTTCAAGCAACTCCAGGGTGTTTTAAACCCAGCCCTTGATCAGCAGGTCAGTATTTGAAGAGCAATGTGTTTCACTCGTACGTAGGCACGATATGGGATCTGTCATCCTTCGCTCACTGGATTCAAGCCACGTGTTGACTGGCTCTTTGAATGAAGAGTTCTCATAAACGGCAGATTCCGTTAGTTGTTCCGTTAACACTAGGATAATTTGTGCCTTTTGTCAATTGCATACGATCTGGTTTTGAAGTGGAGTTTAAGGCTTATGGGTGATCGGGAACTACGCTAACCTTGGCTACAAGAAAGGTGTAGCCGTTTCTGGGCTGTCGAATAGCTTCCAGATTTCAACGAAGTAAACAAGTCCCCGGTCCATTTACCCGAAAATCTAAGTTGAAAATTTGACCTTGTTCGTATCTGCGCTAACATTATGCAGGAAATGTTCACTTTCAGTGGAAGAATGGCCAAATATGTGGGTTGTAACTAATACATTACTCATAAGGTTGCTGAAAACTCCTCGACAACCCACCACCGGTTTCGCCCTTCTCTGGACTCATCAGGTGGGCGCAGTCCCCGAGTTTCCGTCAGCCTTATGTTCTACCTGAGCGCAAATTAGACAGTCCATGACAGAGTGTTTTCAGTAACCATTGGGGTAATGTATTACGTCTGTGAAATGTATCGTACCAACTGAAACATGAGACAGCGTGGTGCGCAGCACATTCAGTTGCTTAAGAAAAACAAACGAAAATTCAGCTGGGTTCCAGATGAGTCTCCCCCGAAAACCAAGTCGATATGAAAGTGGGTGTATTTAAAAAAAAACAACAGAAAACTACTTATTCTAGAAAACTGTTTTACTCCCTTTACTTGCCACTGTCCTGGGAAACAACTCTGAAAACTTCCAAAGTCTTCACCGGACGGCAGTGCTTCTACGTGCTTTCTTTGCTACGGCTATTGGATCTTATTGGTATCCGCTTGTAGCCGGCAGGTTCTTTGACTTACCCTCAAGACATTTATTGCGTCTTCACTTCCGTTATTCTAACCTGATGGAACTGCATGATGGCCGTCAGCCCGTACATTGAGAACAAGTGATTATTGCATCTGATACACTTTAAAAGAGAGCTACTGAATTATCGAACGTTGCTCCATCCGACCACGAATAATGCGCATCCGGGAAGGGTTCAAGAGTGTAGCGGGTCAGTGTCTTAGCAGTGAGCGATATAATGTATCAACCAGGGTGATTAGACATCGATTTTTCTACAGTCACTTGATGTGCCATAACCGGAAAGAGGGGCGTGATGGACCGATTATCCGGAATGCAGTCTTCTCCTTTTTTTGAATATCTGAAAAAATAAGGAAAACGGATAGACAGGCAGGAAGCGAACAGGACTACGTAGCCTTAGGGAAAGGCGAGACATGCCAAAATTGCGAGGCCGATTAGCGTGTGAATAAGAACGTACTCTCCTGTGCTGGAAGTGGTTTCTCTTCCATGGTTTGCGCAGGTTTGAGCTTCGGGTGGCGCTCGATTTCATCTAATAATTGCTTTTCCTTCTTCTCCTGTGCGACTACTGTGGGAGTAAAAGTGAGGATATTGAGATTTCACTGAGAGTGGCTAAAAGCAGAGGCGCTTCATAATGACCCAAAAGTAATAATCATTTAGGTGTAAATGTTTCGGTGCATAGCCTCCATGTCACCCGACAGACGTAAGACAGCTTCGATACTGTCAGGTTGCTCAAACCTAGCGAGCACTGGTTCGGGATCTTCCGGTCAGTAATCTCGCGCTATAATCACTGAGCTGTCTCGATCCAAAATCGAAGACGCCCCGGTAGTTTGTGTTGAAAAACGATCTTGAACACAGTGACTGATTAGCTGGCTAATTTTGGTGAGGAGATAGCGTGGTGTAATGTTTGTTGGTGGCCTGAACATCTCCACCATCATCAGCGTAACAATGCTGCTTCGCTGCAGTAACCCCGTGCACCTCTTCGCTGTACCCTCTTTATGTCCAGCGGGTTTCGAGCGTCCGTGGCGCTAATTTACCGGGATATCCTGACAGGAGGGTGAATCAATCAACAAAACCGACCAAAGTATAGTACTGGTCGTCGTTCGAGTTGTCGGCTTTGCCACTCACATCACTCAAGTGCTAATATGTTTACCTGCTTAGACGTAAAAATTCGGATCTGTCCAGCGTACGCTGGAGTAGCGGTGACACACTCGCCTCGCATATCAGATATCAAAGCCCTACACGGCCAGGGACAGGCACGGCTGATGAGCCCTAATGAGAGCGAAACTCGAGTCCGGTGCTTCCCCACCTTTGGTGTGGACTCACCAGAATCATCGCGCCAGGAAGTTAGAATTATTGTTCAGACGAGAGTCACGTGGATGTGCCTTATAGAAATCCCACAAACACCAATAATGAAATGTATTCTGTCATCTACAGTTACGAGGCAACTGTCCATTCCAGTGTAAAGTAAAAGTCGAGGGTAGAAACCCGATCCTCTGAGCACTTGGAGAACCCGAATTCAGATATCAAAATACCTGTCTACTGGAATGGGACGATGAATCCCAAGTGCCCTAGTTGAATATCAGACTTTTTTCAGACTGTTGTTATTTCACGTCGTCTTTTCATAGCACACGTTCAGTGTAACATACAAACTAATGCACTCCATGGCCGTTTATTTTACTGCCAGGGGGGGGGGGGGCATGATTTCTAGGGCATACAATTTCAGTTTATGTTGAGGCCAATTAGTTTGGTATCCAGCCGCCTTATGCATCCAACCGGTGAAATGTAGTTGAAAGACAAGACAAGAAACAGTTCATAATCTGGGGTCACCTCCACCTCTTCTTCCAAGCGAATAACTCAAGCCAGTTCATTAACAATAGGCTTGTGTTGTAATCACAGTACACCTGTTCAACAGCAGACGTCTTAGACTACGCAGCAGTGTCTACCCACGCCGCAGTCAGTTTTAGTGTGTTGCGTGGACCTGATCATGAAACTTGTTAGTTCACTGTGACTCGTTGGAATAGAAACCATCAGTCGTAATACCGAGTTTAGACATGCTCAGAAAGTCGTATCAAGACTGCTGTTCATTTGTGCGACTACGTATAGGGGTCTGAAAAAATTTGGGTAAAGTCCCATAGCGTAGTGGTTTCAACGTAGTCGATACGCTTTAGAATGTTGGAATACATCCAATATTTTCGTGGTTAAGGTCGTGGGCTAATCGCCAAACCTGAGAATCCCTACATTTACGCGTGTTTGCCGGACCCCCAACACAAACCACATCGGTGAAAAAGACGATTAACCTCTCTGGTGATGACCATTATTCGGAGGGATGAGAACCCGCACAATGCTTCTTGGGACACCGAACGTTAGAGCAGCGGCTTCTGTTCGTTGGGGCTTTCCTTGATTGATGTTGTTTTATCCCGCTTCAGTTCACGACGGAATTTGTTTTAATTACCCTATTTTCACTGAACTGAAACGTCCGAGAATCACCGTCCTGAAGCACTTTAAATACCAACAATCTAGTGTTTGGTCAGGTTCTCAATATGTGCCCCATTTCGATTGATATATTTTCATCTTTGGTTGAAAATGTGCCGACTGGATGAGCATTTGTTTTTCCTCTCTAAGACAGTCAATCAACGACTCTTCTGGTTAACTTTCTAAGACGGCACTTTCTTTCTAGAACAGTCACCCAAATAATAAATAAATGAATCATTCAGCTCTAGCACCCTTTCGGTGCCTAGCTGCCATGCCACACGAAGGAGGCATGGAGGCTGGCATACTGCCAGGTTGCCCAAGCCTAGATAGGGGATATCGAGAGGCAGAGGTCCGGCTCGAACCACGGACTTTCCGGCCAGTAAATTCGTGCTCTAATCACTTGGTCCATCTCACCCAATGAGTTCCGCGTCTCCCTCTACGCGGAATAGAACGGATTACAAGGGCGGAAAGTTCGGAATTATGTATGTCGGTGGCCGAGGTACAGACTTATGTGAACGGTTGCTCAGTGAACAGTCATCACTGATGAGAAATCACTCGAATGGGTTCTTTCCGTGTTGTTACAATGGAGAACCATCTACCAAAACAGAACAAACAAGCGACTAAAGCGGTTACATGGGCAGAACAAACACAAAGACTCCTAGATACCCACCCCAAGTTTAGGTGATTGTTCGCCACGCACTGATCTGTACGGAAAACGAGAACCCTCCCAAAACTATCGACTGTTTGCTTGTGGCGTCAGAAGGTACATAATATTATCATTTCGAGTTTTCAGGGAACTGCGAAACAGTTTCATTTGGCTTCGTTTCGTTTTCATACAGACAAACTATCATTGCATACCTGAAATATCGGAAATCTACATCGCACGTGTAGAAGTTCGCCCCGCACTGTCAGTTCTGCAAGCCAAGACAGCTCTAAGTTAAAGCGGTTCAATTCGGTCGTTCTCGCATTTTATGGTTAGTTTGTGGTCATCTGCAGATCCTCGATAGGTAAGTCATCATTATATGTTGGAGCAGAGGAATTACATAGCATAACTCCACATCTTCTGGTCGGCCAGAATCCTGCCACGTACGTCCGGTTTCCGCCGGCCTGTTCAACTCTATTATATCAGGTCTATCAACTGTACTTTCAACCAATCAATTCCTTTCAGCCTGGCAAAAATCCTTCGCGACAGTGATGAACCGCGTACCGCTGGAGCTCTACTCCTCGTTTGGCTTCATTGACATTTTATTTTCCACAGGTGTTTGAGAAGCACAACTCTAGTGACCATAAGTTAATTCCAGGAGACTGTATTTACCGGATTGCTTTTAATCGGTGAGTATATCGACGGGTCATTTTCATCATCCGCGTTCTTGCTTTTATCCAACTATATCCGCGGTAGTTACTTGGAAAGCTGTTCCAATTCGGGCCCCCTGGTTTCTGAGCCTGTTTGAGACTTGGTCTTTCACCAGCCTTTGCGTTAAAATTTCGAAAAATTCTGATGTGTTCCCGATTCGCCAACGTAGAACTTGAATGAGCTTCATTCTGCTGCCCGACGTGACAGTTTTCCAAATGTGATGCAGATTGCCGCAAACCAAAAGGTGATCCGTATTGGAGTCAGCTACAGGCGGAGCTTCTGTGATCAGGACGGTACCGACAGCTTCTTATCACAATCATATAGTCGGTTAAGTGTTGGTGTCTACTTCTTGTGGCAAGCGGTGACCGATCCACAGTGGACCATGAACAGAGTAGAGCATGCAGAACCGATCTTGGAAGACTGGTCGCACTGACAGTATCGTGCCCGCCTCCGTACTCCCCTGTCAGATCAAAGGTTCATCCCCAGTCAAACACGGGAAACAGACAATGACTCAGCGCGCTCAAGTCTTAATCAAGGCACCATAGCCTGGGGTCCCGCATATGTCCTCCATTTCACCACACTCCATCTAATGCACACGATGAACCAGAACGCCCCACTATTTCTGTCACGTGTCTTCAACTAGGCATAATTTCTCTCTCTTACACTATTTGGGTCAGTAAGAAAACAATAAAAAACAGTTTCATCGTTCTGTTCCAATATACAACCAATCCATTCACTTACAGATGCACTTTTGCATGCCTCTATACATGATCAATGGATGAATCCGGTTGGGGTGAGATTTGCGTTCACATACACACACACACATGTTGCGGAAGTAACCACTTTTGCGATCAGATCCATATCTTATCTGTTTTACGGCGGTGAATTGTGCACCACACACGCCAGACTTTACAGGAGGGTACCATACTGATTAAGTTGGCGCTTAAATCGCGGAAAAGCAAAATATCATGGATTGAAAACAAAAAAAGAACAGGAGCTGTTTCTGGGATATCCTAAAGTGTGATGCCACCATATTGAGCTTGTGGGTCGAAGAGTACATGTCCCCTATCGAGGCTAGTCTTGTAGCGAATCAGGACTGAAGACGCGACTAATGTGCAGGTCAAAGCGGACGTGAAAGATCGTACTTCCCCGTTTACAGCGTCTGCTGATGAAAACGAAACTAGACGGCTCCTCACGGAGTTAATCGCTGAGCGTGGACAGTTTCTATCGGAGATGACCGTAGAAGTGACAAGCAAATGCGTCCAGTGGCGGCAGCAAGCTTGTATCGCGCGAGTTCCAGAGTTGCCGCTGCCAAAGATATGCACTGCCGAGCTCCAGCAAGAAGGCAACCACGTCGTGTCTCATATCTTTGGCTTGGGCCAGGAGTACTGCCCAAACGAGTTATGCGAATGCAAGAACCCCAGAGCCGACTCATCTAGTGTTAGCTAATCACGATAAAACGCACTCGGTGATGCGGCAGAGAACGCGTACCGTTCAGGCTGACCCAACAGAAATATTCAGGTAGCATGTGCTCTCGTTTCATGTTCCTTGAAATCTGCAGTAGAGGATCGCGGCTGAATCAGAATCCCCTATAGACTCTTTGGTTCGATTGATATGTAGATCTGACGCCACGTCCACAATAAACCGATTGGACATTATCCAGGTAACTTGTGTTTATCGTTACGTTGCAAGCATAAGCGAGCAGTTTAGTTGTTACACCTTTGCGACCAATGACTGTTGTAACTGCAACGGGCGATCAGAAAAACACGACTTTGTTAAGTCATTATCTGCAGATGTGCCATTCGTGGTTGTTCTCTGTTCATAGACGGAGATAAATCCTCAGTCGGTGCTTGTCTAATTTACTTGCCTCTGGGTGAGAGAGACCGCCCCAGTTAACTGAGGCGAATCGGTTGTGGTGCTCCTGTTCAAAAAGGGCGCTCTCTGTACCCAGATTCTTTGCTTATTTTACATCAACCTACGATGCAGAGTGAAGACGGAACTCGGGAAAGCAAGTAGGATTCCGGTAAGGAAGGGGTTTTGTGGACCACATCTTCAGACTTCGTGAAGTAGTAAACGGCAAGTGTATAGGCGCCTTAAAATCCTAGAGTTCCTTGACTTCGAGAGTGCGTCCGACTCTGCAGACCGGTTGGTTCTATGCAACACACTGAGTCCAAGAAGTTCGTGAACATCACATTCCGTTTGTATTGGGGGTGCGCGAGCGTGTATGGAGCGTTGTCCACTCTCTCCACTTTTGTCCAAGTTCGTCATTGATGTGTTCGGATCTCTCCCAAGAATGACAGGCAATACAAGAAAGGCTGACCGAGGTCATCCAGTCCTTTACGCCCACAAGATGCAGTCATGCTGGATGGAGGATATAAAATCTTTGAACACGCCTCTAGGAATTCAAGTAACGCCGGAAGCTGCATTAGCTCCCACGGTAGTGACGCGCGAATCTCGAGGACCAAAATTGCGTTCACCAATTCGCGCCACTTATGGAATCAAAAAGACATTCCACTAGATCTCAAAGGACGCGTGTGGGCCGTATTATTGCACGCTTGCCAGACTTGGCCACTTCCTGCGGAGGATCTGAGACACCCTCAGGTCTTAGAACAACCGGTTGGGACCAACGAATTCGCGGTGTGATCGGGGGTCTTTGGCGGAGCAGAGGGTACTTTTCTCACCATATATTGGCTAGATAGGAGCAATCGGAATGCAGATGCTTAGTTCGAAACACGGACCTTCCGGTCAGAGCCCCTTAATCGAGCTCGATGAAGAACTGTAAGTAATTGGCAGCACTGGTCATATCTGCTCACAGTGGAAATACCTGCTGAATGCATGTGGCTCGTAGCTAGGCCCTTAGCTGTTGCTAAGTCCATGAACAGTTCCTTGGTGTGTAAAACAGTATTCACAATTGCACGGATATTATAAAGGTGTGCCCTTCCCCGTTCGGTTCGAACAAATCCAGCTTCAGAGAAAATCTCCAAGATGTCAGGAAAACACGCAGTTTGTATGTATATATAATCAAAAATTCATCTGAAATTCGGCTTCCCCGTTCCGAACAAATCCAGCTTCAGAAATCTCCAAGATGTCAGGAAAACACGCAGTTTGTATGTATGTGTATATAATCAAAAATTCATCTGAATTTCGGCCTCACCGTTTTCCCGTACAGTGATGAGTATATGAATGCATGGAGTTATTAATATTTATGTGGAAGGACGGCAGCTAGTAAGCATCAAGAAGCAAGCCAAACAGGTGCGATTGGAGGCCGTATTGCGTTGGCACTTTAGAGGGGAAAAACAGCGGGATAAGCTTTAGGATGCAGTCTTCTCCTTTTCAATATCTGAAAAAAATAAGGAAGACGGACAGACAGGCAGGAAGCGAACGGGACTACGGAGCCTTAGAGAAAGCCAAGACATGCCGAAATTGCGAGGCCGATTAGCATATAATTAAGAACGTACCCTCTTGCGTCGGAAGTGGGTTCTTTTCCATGGTTAGCGCAGGTTTGAACTTAGGGTGGTGCTCGATTTCATCTAATCATTGCTTTTCCTTCTTCTCCTGTGCGAATACTGTGGGAGTAAAAGTGAGGATATTGAGATTTCACTGAGAGTGGCTAAAAGCAGAGGCGCTTCATAATAACCCAAAAGTAATAATCATTTAGGTGTACATCTTTCGGTGCATAGCCTCCATGTCACCCGACAGACGTAAGACAGCTGCGATACCGGCAGGTTGCTCAAACCTAGCGAGCACTGGTAAAGAAGCCAGCGTTGGGTTCGGGACCTTCCGGTCAGTAATCTCGCGCCATAATCACTGAGCTGTCTTGATCCAACATCGAAGGGGACCCGGTAGTTTGTGGTGAAAAACGACCTTGAACACAGCGACTGATTAGCTGGCTAATTTTAGTGAGGAGATAGCGTGGCGTAATGTTTGTTGGTGGCCTGAACATCACCATCATCCGCGTAACAATGCTGCTTCGCTGCAGTAACCCAGTCTGTCAAACAAATTGGGAGCACACAAAACGATTGCTCAATTCCCGACAGAAACCCATTTGTTCTAGTTACTCTCCCGGTCGATACACAATCGTTATCATGAACATTCTCTTCCTCACAGACACGCCATATCAGGACAGATTGCAGGGCAAGCGTCGTTATATTCTGCATTCCCTTCGGCTAAGCACATGTCGACCACCTTGCACTGCGATTCTGGAGGCACGCAGAGCATCACTTGCCTCGGTAGACGGTGATAAACGTGTGTAGCACACGATCAAGCCACGGTAAATCATAATCACGGATGAGGACGGTAGGTAGATGGTTCATATTTGGAAGCCTGTAAAATCACACTATACATTCTGCCCGACAACAACCACTTCAACTTCAACGGCTTTGGAAGACACACAAACGGTTCAGCTACAAGCATAAACCGACAACGGGAAACAGCAGGAAAACTGTATCGCCATGCAAAACGTCTGGTCACCAGAAGATGTAGATGATGCGGAGAAACAATGATGTAATGCTTACCCTCCGGAGTGGGAAGAGGATTCTTTTCCAGATTGCTGGCTCGCCTCAATTTTGGATGGTGCGTGATCTCTTCTAGAAGTTGTTTCTCAGTCTTTTCGTGTTGAATTTCTAGTTTAGCATCAACAGAGCTGAGCAAGTTACAACGAGCCACGAGTATGGGTGAGATTAGACGGAAACCAGCAAAAAACTGAACAACTCCACAACACCACTTTGAACCAAAAGGCTGCACGATCAAAAATCCACAAAACACATACAAGGCGCAGACTGAAGAAAAAACAGCGTCCATACACGTAAAAAGGAAATAAGGAATATCGACTTTCAGTGGTATATAGTTGTTTAAAGCAGGGAATCGCAGATGAGGAAGGAAACGAAATTGAGTCAGTACATGCGAAAGTGAGCAAAACTAATGCGGTTATGGGTTTGTCCGGATTGGTAACCCGCTATCATCCGGAAATTACGCTGAGAAATGATTGGTGCCTGGGGTACCACGCTTCAAAATACTCACGAAACGACAGCAACCACAAAAGCACTTGGACCGTGTGCGGAAAACTAAAGAAACAAAAAACGTAGCCCGCTCGATAAGTCAAAATCAGTAAACACAAACTACCCTGAAAATTGGACAACACCAACAGAGACGCGACGAAACTAACCACATCAACTTTTGGTTGTTTCATCGTCATCGGTCGATGTAAGGCCCAAAGATTTCGACCGAGGCAATTGATGTGGAAAAGAATTGGCAATGATGAAACGCAAACCTCAATCTAGAAGGAACGCAGCCAAATCATGACAATCGTCGGCTGTGGAGGGCGAGCGGAGCAGCTGGTCGTGCCGAAATTGTTTTCCTGTTGCCACCCCGCGAGAAACAACTAAACCCCATTGATAGGCAAGTCTGCAGATCAGTTCGAAGTGATCGCACGGGATACTTCCAGCTCAAAACTAACATCCACCAGTTGAGAAATATAAAAAGCCAAAACGTCATGCAACTGTACCGTATATATTAAAATTGCAGAAAGCGGGTTTAAAAAAGCGGACATGGCGGTTCGGAATTACAAGCGCAACAGACATGAGGACAGAGTTTTGCGGGGAGGGAAGGTGCGTTTTGCGAAATGGCACTTATCCACTATTCTCTAACGCAATATCTGCAACGAACGGGGGTACATAGAAAATGAAGTGTATTTGATTGGTAGGTTTCTGAAAGGCTAAAACATCAGTACGGAAATTTTTTCTTCATAACAACGATTTGCATTATTAGTTTTCTCCCGACCCACACTCATCAACATCCCTCTTTTTACCGATCCAAATATTCTACTACTCTCGATTGCATGACTATCGAGTGCAGGCCATTACTGTACTGAGCGCCTATTGTTAAATGCCACTCACCCACCGTTCCCCATCATTGCCACAACCAACCATCGCTCGCGATTGGACGTGACAAGACGCAGATGGAAGTAAAGGCCATAGGGCCGTCACTATAGGAAGGAGCAGCTGAAAGCTCGTGAGACGTTCACCTCCCCTACAACAGTAGAACACAGCACTCGAGGGTTGGTTGGGACAGAAGAACGGGAAGAGTCTATCCCACGGGTCGAGTCTGACAGTCTGTTTGCCCTTCTGGACCGGTGGATGATGCCTATGGAACGAAGCCTACAATGTCCATGACCGTCGTTTGAAAACGAGATTGAATGATGCTAAGGTGGTGCCGTTGTTTCGTGTCAACTTAACCAAGCTCCTTGGTCCATCGGGCCTAACTCGTAACTGAGAACAGTAGTGGCAACATCAAAAAAGCTTGAGTCACCAGTCATAGGATTTTCGTCATACGGGCTTCAAACGGTTTGCAGCAAACCGCCACAGGCGCGCTCGAGCACCTGATTGAGAGCCATTACCTAATACAGCGATCGAACCTGTGTAGTGCTGGTGAGAACTTTGTTCCTCGAGGTTCAACCACGCCAAAAAGCTAAAGCGGATTCGCCGGGCAAACAGAAGCGGTCCCACAGTACATGTAACTATGCAACAGGCTTCAAAGAGCACTCTTCCTAGGGACAAACAAATTTCCCGAAATTCTCTGTACGTAAAATTCAGGAGTACACAGCTCGAAGTGAACACTGTGACAAAGTGATTGGCGAAACCTACAGTAAACTAGCTACTCGCAGTCGTGAATCTTCAAGCTGATATCTGACAAAATTGAACAGAGCCAATAAAATTGACCGTGCGTCAAATTCTGTTGGACACGGCCGGTTGAGGTGGTACACACAGTGGCCGCTACAGCTGATCGCGAGTGGTAGCTAAGGTAGTAAGCAGCACCCAACGGCAAAGATTCAGGGATACGCCTTTTAGAAGTGCACGTGGAGTACATTTGATGAATCAAAGGCTTCTGAAGAGTGGAAAGTTACATTAACCACCAATAGGAATGGTAGAGTGAAGTGTTCTCCTGACAGGAAAGTAGCGAGGGTGCAGTTCTACCACAGGTAGTAGAAGCATAACTGGTTAGATGAGCAATACAAGAGTTGAAAGAAGCTAATTAGGATTAACATCACCTGCTGTGCTAAGGGTCTGCTGTGACAAAGGGTCAATGAGGACCCGGTAGGAATGCACGGCAAAGTTGTTGAAAGCATGAAAAAAGCGAGGCATCCAAAAAACCTAGAAACTGAGTGCACTTTTGGGAGCGTCACGATGGTTAACCCGAGTCATGAGCGTTTGCATACAGGAAGTTTGCAGAACTGCACGAAGGAAGCTACCAGAAGCAAGCGGTATTGGAACAAAATAAAGGGAAATTATTCTGGTATGGGTGACGGCGTGTGGGGCAAAAGGCTGCTGAAGTGAGAAGAAACAGGTGGATTCAGTGAACCATGTACCGTGGTAGTAGCGGTAAAACAGCACTTACATCCCGATAATGAGTTTTCAAATAAACGGTCAACGGGGAATTATGATCAACAATAACAAGAGGTGAAAAACACTTAGGAGCTGCCGGCTTGGGATTGGTACAATAGAAGTTGGGAATGCGGAAGACATTACGAGAACGGAAAAGGAAGTTCGAGTTTTATGGAGGCCTGCACTATAATGTGAACATCGAGTGGGATGGATGACTGCGGGGAAAATTTTGGGTTAACAGAGCGGGACGTTAGCAGGAAAATAGTAAGAGGTAAACGAGCACGAATTACTTCAGGATTGAATGTTGCTGAGCTCAATGGGTACCCCGTGTACCCGATCACTCAGTCAGAAATGAGAGATCTTCCAGAAAAAATAACAGCAAGGCAGGTGGAGAATCGCACAATCCAGGAAAGCATGAACGCAACCAAGCGGGGGAAGGAAATCGTTGACACACAAGGGGAACAGCGCGGGAGAATGAAACGTCAGGAGAAACCCACAATGACTGAGAGAACAATGTTAGAGTACTCCCCAATTAATTCAACGAATCTATAAGCTGGCAGTTTGCAGATAACGTCGTCATGTCATGCCCGCTCGGAAGCGTTTGAAAAAGCAAGACATCAAGCCCGTTATGACAGACTATCCAGGACAGATGAGCATGTAACATGTATCCCGATAATTGGTCAGTACAAAGACATTAAATCGTCCATCTGTAACACCCTTCTGGTGCCTAGCCGCCATGGCACTCGAAGGAAGCACGAGGGCTGGGATACTGCCAGGTTGCCCAAGCCTAGACAGGGAATTCGAGACACGGAGGTCGGGGTTCGAACCACGGACCTTCTGGTTAGTAAATTCGAGTCCTAACCACTTGAACCATCTCACCCCGTACAAAGACGTTCCCTGAACCAATTTTAGTGGTTCTCCATGAGTTCATCGTTTCGCTAAATTGTGCAGTTGTTCGGCCAAGACTAACCTCAAAGCCTTGAAAGTTGGTAGAAATGGGATCAGATAAGGGAAAGAGTAGACTCGAAGCTCTTCATGCAAAAAGAACAACACCTCAAGATGAGAAGATGGAAGCAAGCTCTAGAGCTTAGGTAATCACATAAAAATAATCGCCCGGCGTAACACCCTTTAGGTGCACAATACTGATATACATTTTTTCAGCTGTAGCACCATACTGTTGCCTATCTGCCATGCCACCCGAAGGAAGCACGAGGGCTGGGCTAGCCCAAGCCTAGACAGGGGTAGTCGAGAACCAGAGGTCGGGTTCGATACATGGACCTACCGGTCAGTAAATTCGCGCTCTATCCAGAGCCGATGCATAACTATAGTCCCACTCATGAAAGGAGCGAGGGCTGAGTTTTTACCAAATTCCGTCACGAAAAGAATGGACCTCACCGTGTGTACCTCGGCGACCTATTGAGTTACACGGGGGTGTCTGCGCGACATTCGCAGTCTCCTGGTCCTCCAAGTTGGGGGGCTGGAACGTGTGGCGACTTGTTCCGTAAAAATGATAATGTACCTGTATTTCCTTCCAAACACCGCTGCCTCGCGGTCAGGCTTTTGAGCCACGTATAGCCATGAATGGCACATTTACAGGAAAACTCATGCCACACCGACCGTCGCGTGGTGCCACTAGGAGCGTTGCATACGACAGGTCGGGTAAGCGAAAAAGGGCTACTGCTGACGCCTCGTTTCTCTTTCGCATACTTTTCTTCTCCCTCTCCTCATCCCATTAACAACTCTTTGTTTGTCGGCCTAGGACCTGGGACTGGTGACTGTTCGTCGTGCACCGGTTTTGAAAGTAACATCTGCGCGTCATCCAGTGCCGAGATCCTCAGGAGTCCCGAAATCAATCTAAGTCTCGACGCCCTATCTGGCGGCCTTCAATGTCCTCACCCCGAAGCAAGCAGGTCGACAAGCTGCTCTCACACTAGAGTCGCCTGGCATTGATGTGTGCTGTGTATCAGGAACAACAACTGAAGATGCAAGCACAGTGGTTGAGCTAGCCGCTCCATCACTCTCACTCGCTTTCGTCTGCGGATCTCTGCGTAACCTTATGGTGGCTCCGCACACAAAGCGGTGTTCGTCAGAGGTGCCCACTCTGTCCGAACGCTGGAAGGTTTCCAGGACCCCGGTGTTTACATAGCCTCCAACGAAAACCTTGCCGTTCTGGAATATGCAGACGATAACGTTCTGGTTTTCGGAGATAAGGCGCCGAGATAGGGTTCGAACCACAAGCCTTC